AGATTGTCAACTGATGTAAAAACTCAGTTCATAAGGGTCAAAAGCGAAAGCGAAAGCAAAAGCTCTCCCCACCTTAAATCCTTCAGGCAACCTCAAAGAAAATAGCATAACTTTCACAATTTTTAATGGAGAAGAACAGTTTCAAAAATAATTAGACATAAGGAATCTACAATGATTATATAGATCAGTAAACCACGGATTTAGAGAAAATAACTTGCTACTCATATTAAAAATACGATCAAAATAAGGAATTTTGTCATTGCCTGCAAATAAAAAAACTAAAATATGCTACTCATTCGTAGATAAGGCATTTGCTCCTACAAACATCAACACAAATACTTAGGAAACAGCTTTGGTTGAAAAATAAACAACTTATTTGAGACTGAGAAATCGAACCAGGGCAAATATCATAATAAAGGAGATCGTGTTGGAGGCAAGATGGACTTTTTCCTTCTTCTAGTGCTGAGTGCAAGAATAGCGTATGTACTTCAACTGGTGACCCTCTAGCATCAAGCGTCTTCAACATATAGATAGTCGGACTATATATCAGGCACATTCTATCGAGAAAAAATTGCGCAAGAGGACGGCTAAAGTCCAGAACCTGCTTTCTGGATCTAAGATTGTAGGTACATAATGTTCCAGGCATTGCGATAAAAAGGATATCATTATACAAATACAGGGGCTTAAAATATAAACAATTTAGATCTTTATTGTCACCATCACGTGGATAATGTCGTCCCAATTTAGAGGAGTCTTCACGCCAGTGCACTTCCATGTAATCAGCAAGACATGGAAACCTGAATGCTGCAGGTACCCAATGAGGGGGCTCATTATAGTCCTTCAACTGCAAAATCTTTACTTCATATTTATAAGCACAAACATAGTGAATACGACTGTTGTTTTCTCCCAAGCAACAACGTCTTTGAAGATTATACTCATCTGATGTTATATGTGGCAACTTGATGACTTGGCACGACTCTTTTCTGATGTCGAATACTACCATATAGAAACCTTCACACACAACACGAGTACCAATGTTGCAGGATAAATTATATGTAATCCAGTGACATCGATCAGATACAAAAGCATGGCTTTCAGGACGAATCCATGAAGCACAACACATAAATTCTCTAGAGACTCTCCACATCTTGAGCTTTGATTTATAAATAACAAAGGAGCAAAAGTCTGGTTTGTCTAGAGAAAATTGTATGCCAACTAATGTAAAACTCAGTTGAGGATCGAAAGCAAAAGTGAAAGCAAAAGCTCTTCCCAATCCCAACTTATACTCTTGAGGCAACCTCAAAGAAATCCATTCCCTTGTAGCTGGGTTGCATATATAAAATACTACTGGAAATACTACTGATTCAAAGGGAGGAATTCGGCCACAGCTATGACACTTGTGGTAAACAATAACCTCACAAGCGCGGCAACATAGTATACCATTTGAATAACCAACCAAGCAGTTTTTTCAGGGAGGAAATCCAATAAAGTATTTGTACTTAACTTTCTATCCATACTAGTATACAAAGGGAAGAAAACGAGCAGTACGACAACAATGAAATATTTGTTGTGTAAAAATACCAGCAGGGGAACAAGAATCTATCATCTTCAAAGAATAAGAATGTTGAAAAGTAGGGTCCGAAACGTAACCATACCACCTTTTACAAGTGCACTTGAACATCAGGAGTGACTTAGGAGGTAGGCTTGATAGAATAAGGTGAACTAGATCATCACCCAGAACACACTCCATGCCGAAAATAAAGAATATGAGGATGCAAGAGACCAATATTTTCTCATAAATTATATGCTAGCTAACATAATCCTGTCAAAATGAAAGGATAATTTACATGAGAATATATTAGAGAAAAAGCTATAAACTGATTTGTGTGTGATTGTCATGTATTCTTAAACTAATATGAAGGAGGGAGCCCAATTTCTCTTCTTGATAAACAAAAATCGGTTATCTAGTGGCATTTATGTGAATAAATCAACATATTATCCCAATCAATGACATTTTCATAAATAAATTAACATTAGTGGAACCCGCATTTAATCAAAGTGTTGACTTATTAACAGAAATGATACTAGATAAACACTTACCAAATAAGAAAAGATATTTAATGCTTATTTATAGTCCTAATGGCAGCATATTCTCCATATAGCATTGTTATTAAAATCCCGATTTAAATCTTAAAATCTTACGATTTTACGATTCATATATGTCACACGATTCGATTTACGATTCTATCCGATTTTACATATTCTCTTAACTAGCGAAATTCTTACAAGTTTAAAACATGTTTATATAGCTATTTATAAATATATATTGTCAATTATTGGTTGCTTAATGGGTAAACAACTATTTTCTATCAATAATTAAGTTTCAAACTCATAATTTAAATATATTTAATTAAATTTAGATATGACGTTTTGATTATCCATGTCGGTACAATCTTACGATTCTACGATCCGATTTTACGATTCGATTCTGATATCCTCTTCCGATTCAATGTAGAATCCCGATTATAATAACTTTGCCATATAGTATTATCCTTAAATTAATACTTTAAATCTATTTCTAAAGATATCAAAAAACAAAATTGACCCGTCAAAGAAAAAAAAAAATTGACAAACAATTTCAAAACCAATTATTATTCCTATTTGCAAGATCAATTTTTTGTTGGAAATTACAAAAATTATTCAACAAACCAAAACCCTAATAATGATTGATCGTTAAATTAAAACAATGAAATTAAATTAACAAAATCACACAATTAATTGTCCTTCCCTAAGCCAAGGCATTCTATTTACATAATTCCGTCCGTTGAAATTTGACTCAAAAATCACATTAAATTCTTCACTCGAGAGTATCAGCACAAAATGCACATAGCAAAATTCTTGTAAAAAAAAACCGATTGTTACAATCTTTCATATCAGAATTTCAGTAATTATAAACAAAATTATAAAATCAACCTTTAGAAGAACCCTAAATTGATAATGTGCTAACAATATAATTATCGATTACTCTATATTGTGAAATTTAAATTCAATAACTTAATAATGCAAGTAATTTAAAAAAAAATAAAAAAATAAAAAAAAAAAATTTAACATTTTACCTCAGAAGTTGTTTCAGTGGAGAAAATCAGAGAAAAGGTAGTACGCGCTTCAGTATTAGAGAGTAAAACACACTTCTTTTTTTTTTTTTTTTTTTTTTTTTTAGAGAAAACGTTAATGATGCCTTATATTGACAATTTGTCCAGAGTAAAACACTCTTTGATAAAAAAATCTATACTAGTCCCTCTTTGCTTCATTTGACTTTTCACAGTCTCCAATACACATTGTTATAATGTATATAACTTCATTTCTATACGCATAAAAATTTTAAAAACTTGACAATGTGAAAACTCCAACGAAACCTCACATGATTATATTATTTCTTATTGATTAATGAAAGGGGGATTTTTCTGTGTGGCAAAGGCTACTCGAGTTACTCGGTCAGTGGTTACTCGAGTTATTCCTGACCGAGTAACCCCTAACCAAGTAACTCGAGTAACCCCTCAACTCCTCAAGTAACCCTTTACCGAGTAACTCCTTGAGTAACTCTTGTTCGAACCCCTCAAGTAACCCCCGACCGAACCCCTCAAGTAACCCCTGACCGAGTAACTCGAGTAACCGTTGACCGAGTAACTCGAGTAACCGTTGACCGAGTAACTCGAGTAACCGTTGACCGAGTAACTCGAGTAACCCATGGCCGAGTAACTCAGGTAACCCCTGTCACATGGTGTGGTCAGTCACATACAAAAATTTGTCTTAATGAAATGTATGATCAAATTTTTTAAAATTTGATCTATTTATTTGCAATGGGGCAAAAAATGAAAACAGAGAAAGTATAATTTAACGGTCAATCTTCCAACTTCTAATTATAAGCCTCCAAACCCTTGATCGTATGTATTTTCATTATCTTTATTTTATTTTTATTACAAAAATACTAGCATTTCTATCGTAACTTGACTACCATCCAAATATACCATTATACCCTAACTTCTTATCGTATTTGGAAAAAAAAAATCCTAATAGTGTACACGAATAATATATTTGCTTTGGCATGGGTATGCTCTCTTATTTAATAAGAGGAAAATTACATGTCATGTGTCCACTTTTGACATTTCCTTCTAATTTATTTTTTTAGATTCAAAATACTAAAATGCAGTTTGTATCTACGTAATGCTTGGTTGCTATAATGTTAAGTAAATCTTAAGTTTGTATTCATAATAATTTAATCTAAGTGTTGAATACTTTTCCATACAAAATCAGACCAGATCAAACTAAATCAAAGATCGAAAATTAAAAAAATTCAAAATCTAGAGGCCGAATCGAAACAATTTAAGATTAAGTTGACAAGTCTGATATACAATTTTTTTTGTGGATCAGGGGGCAAAATGGGTATAATTTGAGGTAAAAAGGTTAAAACCGCAATTAGACTACGACATCGGTTTTGCAACGACATTTTCTTACGCGAGTACCAATTACAGTTTTCATGCTGGTCTCATACAAGATTTCAAACGCATCAGAGTACTACATTCAGTGCCGCCTCTTGTACTAAGCTTATACCACTCAGCCAATGTACCATGACAGAGATACCGTTAGATACTCGACCCAGTAAAGCACTACGGAGTACTTGCTTATCTAGCAGTTTAACCGCATAACTTACCCCCAAAGCATAAATTGCAGAATAAGATAGCTGAGAACAAGAGAGGTTATAATAGAAAAGGCTCTGCATTTCAAAATATCTGACAAAAATGAGCAAGTTAATTTCAGCACCTAAGCATTGAAACACAAACCATAGAGCAGTAAAGGCAGATTGCAACTTGTGAAAAGCCAAACAAAATTCTGTTCTCTTGTGATCACCGCTCTCCAGTCAGAACGATTCAAACCAGCATCACACATGGAAAACGGATAAGCATAATCATCTATCAGATTACGATCCAACCAACCAGGGAAATGAGAACATCAACATCAGATATAAAGCCAGACACGAATTTTCTAAAGTACGTCAACATCAGAGAAATAACCAAAACGATTGAAGGCAAACAGAAACTAACACATCATTCTCAAACAAGAGAATTACAGTGGGTTCCAAAATATATTAGTAACATCAAGGACATAGTGCTCAACTAGTTCATAAAGCATACTTAGATGGCAGATGCTACAAACTCACAATACCTAATTTGTTTAAAAGCATTCTAGACGACGAGTGGTTCACCCCCACATGAGCACTAGTACTTCATTTCTAGAGTTTAAGAAATGGTCTACAACAGCATAATTCGTTACATCTTGTCACTTGGCCATTATGCCTTGAGCTTGATTCTCCTGCTGCTGCTGGAAGTTGAGTGGCCTCCTGAACAACATGATGTGCGGCTCTGGACGGTGGATGGCATAATGAACCCAACCACGACTCTGCTGAACTCCAATCGCCCGCCATTCGTTCTGAAAATACATACACCCAATTACATCCACCATTAAACTTCAGCAACAACTGTGACATTACGCCTCCATATTTTTTACTTCATAAAGCATTGTTTCGAGTAAAAACAGCTAATTCAGTTCCTTCAAACAAATCTTTTACTTTAATTCCTTTCTTTGCTTTATACTATGCACTCGATATAAAACATCAATATTGGGGAAAGGGTTTATTATTCATCAACAGGTAGAATATTTATACAAAACCTAAGATCATACAATAGGAAACAATCTTCCTAAAAGACATTCTACAATTCAAAATCAAATAAAATATATTCGATTGTCAGAAAGTATTCATTTCATAATCCCATTATCTGATTACTGTTCTCAAATTACTGGTAAATAATTCAAACCAAATGAACATTTTTACAATAAAATCGCAAACATTATATAAAGATCCAAATTCCGAATCACATAATTATATGCTTAGCAATCACTGTACAAAATTCAATCAATTAAAAAATCAAAATAATTACCAAAATAATGGAAATATAAAAGCAAAATCGGAAACAAAAACTTACCTCAGTCAAAAGGCGATTCTTGGGAAGAAGTTTAGCGACTTCAGCTGGAAGAACAACATGCCTGAAAATCACGCAAATTCAAAGCCCTAATCATCACCACCAAAAATTTGAAAAATTCCCCAAATTAATTTAAAATTCAAAATCATAATTCATACCTGTATTCATAAGTATCATCAAAGTACTTCTCAGAGTACTGGATCTGACCCATTTTCTTCGTTAATCTACGTAATCAACTTCTTCAATTTGCCTTCTAGGGTTCTTCAGGATCAATCAACAAACAACAAACAACAAATTAAATCAAAAATCAAAATCAATCAAGAAATAACTTAAAAATTGATGGAATTTTAGAGAGAGAAAGTGCGTACCAGGAATTAAGGAGGAGAGAGAAAGTGAGTGGGAGCGGGATGAAGAAAGGAGAGGAAGAAGAAAGGAGGAATAAAAGGGGATGAAAAAGGAGTAAAAGGATTTTGAGGGGGGCTATTTTTGAGGAATTTTCTAGAATTAAGGGGTATTTTTGGAAGTTTGGTTGTTTTTATTTGAATTTTGAATTTGAGGTTTTCCCCGCTTATGTGATTTCATGATTCATTGTATGATTTGTAAAATTTGACCGTTTGATTTCAAATCTTCTTTCATTTATCAAGTTAAAATAGTAAAATTCAAAAATAAAACGGAAAAATTACTTTAAATAATCTAACTTTTGCCCCATTATCTCAAAATAAATCATTCTTCTGATTATTTTAGAATAATCCAACTTTTATACCGCTTTTTCTCATAATGAACCCAAATGACCAGTTACCTAGATAACCGGTCATCCCTTTCTTTCTCCTCATCCCACCATCTTCCTCCATTACCAACACCCAAAGCTCCACCCCCGTAACCAAACCACCTCCCCACCACCAAACTACAGCACGCAGCATCTCCCACGCTGTTGTGCAACAGCGGAAGCAAAGATCGAAAACAATAAAGAAACAACAAAGAAATTCAATGCAAACAATAAGAACAACACCAAGAATTAATGTGGTTCACTATCAATGTGATAGCTACGTCCACGGGCACCGAGATCAAAGTATTTCACTATAAACCGCAAAGAATTACAAAGATGAATCAAGTCTTTCTCAAGAACGGCTCTTCTTCTTGCCCTCTTGTTACCCTAGCCCTGATAAAAGGAAGTTTTTATATTAATCCCTAAATAAAGGATACTTGGGCTACAAGATAAAATAATAAGATAACTCTAACTTCCGCAAAACCGCGTCTCTATCGTATCTCCTTCCGCCCGGTCAGACCGGGCATGGCATGCCCGATCGGGCGCGCGAAGCAACGTTCAACAGAGATACTTTTGCACTGCCTACCCTCACCGCCCGGTCTGCCAGGGCATGGCATGCCCAATCGGGCAGTGGGGATTGCAAGATACATTACACAGCCTATCCTCACCGCCCGGTCTGCCAGGGCATAGCATGCCCAGTCGGGCAGAGGAAGGCTGCACTATAGTTCGAGTCACCTAACCATCTACAATCTCCAGCTTGACGAGAACTCGTAGTCAGCAAAACGAACCCATCAACACATTGTGAAAAAACATCTCAAGCCTAACCCGATGCAAAGCTCATGCATATGCCATACATCCCAATAAGTCTCCAACCAAGACCCATCCCGATAAGCCTCCAACCAAGACCCATCATATACTTGTCTCCAAGTATAATAACTCATAATGCTCCACCTGCATCACAAGCCCGGGGCAAGCTCCACCTTAAGGCCAACATGCTTACACTAGGAGCTCCCCAACACCGCCCCTAAGAGCCTGCTACATCACATAGTAATCAATATTTAGCAAGTCCAAACAATGTTTAAACTTACTAAATGGAACAGCCTTAGTGAAGAAATCAGTCGGGTTGTCAGCAGTCCCAATCTTCTTCACCTTAACCCTCTTGTCAGTACGTAAGAAATGATACCTGACATCAATGTGCTTGGTCCGATCATGGTGCACTTGATCTCTAGCTAAGCAAATGGCACTTAAACTATCACAATACACCGTAGCAAAATCCTGTACAATACCCAGTTCACCTACAAGGCTTTTGAGCCAAATAGACTCCTGAGCTGCAGAAGTTAAAGCCATGTACTTAGCTTCATTAGTAGACAACGTAATCGAAGACTGCAATGTAGACTTCCAATTAACCACAGAACCACCCAAAGTGAACACATACCCTGTCACGGACCTCCTGGTATCCACATCAGCTGCATAATCAGAATCACTATACCCAGTCACCAAGCACTCCTTATCATTCCCATACACAAGACCAATATCAGTTGTCCCTCTAAAATAGCGAAAAATCCTTTTCACCCCCTGCTAATGTTCCCTCCCAGGTCGAGCCATAAACCTGCTTACAACACTAACAACATGCGCAATATCCGGCCTAGTGCAGACCATAGCATACATCAAATAGCCAACCGCGTTGGCATATGGAACTCTAGACATATAAGACAACTCCTCCTCTATTTGAGGTGACATAGACAAAGACAACTTACAGTTTACAGTAGTTGGCATACTTATAGGCTTTGATTTTTCCATCCCAAAACGAGATAAAATCTTTTCAATGTAGCTTTTCTGAGTCAAGAAAAGCTTACCTCTAGCTCGATCCCGGTAGATCTCTATAGCCAAAATCTTCCTAGATGCACCTAAGTCTTTCATGTCAAACTCTGAGTTAAGCATCTCCTTTAATCTAGCAATATCCGATTTATTCTTTGTGGCAACCAACATGTCATCAACATATAACAATAGATAAATCATGGAACCATTATCCAGCTTACTATACACATAGCAATCATATGAATTCCTATCAAAACCATGCGAAGCCATAAAAGAATCAAACCTCTTGTACCACTGTCGGGGGGATTGCTTAAGTCTATACAATGACTTTAGCAATCTGTAGGCATAGTGTTCCACTCCAAGAACCTCGAATCCCTCGGGCTGCTTCATCAGAATCTCCTCCTCCAAATCACCATGGAGGAAAGCCGTTTTAACATCTAGCTGCTCCAACTCAAGATCAAAGTGTGCTACAATTGACAATAACACACGGATAGAAGTGTGTCGAACCACAGGCGAGAATATCTCCACAAAATCAATCTCTTCTACTTGACTGAACCCCTTAGCAACTAGTCTGGCCTTAAAACGCACTTGCTCAGTTTCTGATAACCCTTCTTTCTTCTTGTAAATCCACTTACACCCCACAAGCTTCCTCCCTTCTGGTGCCTTTACCAGTTCCCACACTCTATTCTTGTAAAGAGACTGCATCTCTTCACCCATTGAAGCAAGCTATTGCGCCGACTCACTACAACTAATTGCTTGTTTATATGTGGAAGGTTCAAATGACTCTACATCATCAGCTACCCTCAATGCATAACCTGTCAACTCATCAACACAACAAGTCCTTCCCCCCATCTCTTCAATCAATCTAACAGGCTTCTTGATAACTCGTTTAGGCATTTCAATAATGGTGTCAAGTTGACTAGATGACCCCTGATTAGATTGCTCCACCTCTTCCCCAAAGTTAGGATGAGTTAGAGTAATCTCAGGTTCAGGAGTACCTGGCACTGGAACATCAGCATCATCAACAATATATTGTACCCGAGGTAGATCAACAATGATAGACTGATGTACCTCAAGCACCCCATCTGTCTGTAATAAGTTCTCCCCTTCCCTTCCTAAATCAGAAGTCTTCGTACTTAAAGTTGAATACATGGTGCTCTCATCGAAAGTAACATCCCTACTAAGAATGACCCGACCCTCCGAAGATAAATAGATTCTAAACCCCTTCACACCATCCCCGTACCCAACAAAGCACCCCTTCTTGGCTCGTGGATCCAGCTTACCCTCACTAACATGATAATAAGCAACACAACAAAAAACCTTCAAATTTGAAAAATTAGGCAGCTTACCACTCCAGATCTCAAAAGGAATCTTGAAGTCAATTCCCGAATGAGGACCCCTATTAATGACATAACAAGTTGTCAACACAACTTCACTCCAGTACCTCCTCCCAAGACCTGCATTAGAGAGCATGCATCGAACTCTCTCTAACAGTGTCTAATTAACCCGTTCTACAACACCGTTCTACTGTGGTGTCTTCCTGACGGTATGATGTCGACCTATACCCTAATCTGCGTAGAACTGATTAAACTCGTCTTTGCAAAAATCTAGCCCATTGTCCGTTCGTAGCTTCTTTATCTTCTTTCCTTGTTGATTTTCCACCAAAGCTTTCCATTGCTTGAAAGCTTTGAAGGCCTCATCCTTTGACTTAAGCAACCTAAGCCATGTGTATCGAGAATTGTCATCAACAAATGACACAAAATAGTGGTAACCTCCCGTACCTTCAACTCTAAATGGACCCCAAGCAATCTGAATGGATGTAATCGAGCACAACATCAGTAATGTGAGCACCCTTGCTGAACTTTGACCTGTGTTTCTTACCAAACACACAATGCTCACAAAATTCAAGGTTACCAACCTTGACTCCGGATAGAAGATCCCTCTTAGACAATAGCTGCATCCCCTTCTCCCCCATATGACCAAGCCTCATGTGCCAAATCTTAGTCATCTCCTGGTGAGACACCGATGCACAAACCGCAGAAATAGACAGTGTAACACCCTCAAAGACATAGAGAGTGTTCCTTTTGATACCCTTAAGTACCAACTCAGAACCTCTGTAAATGCACAACTCCCCATCCGAAAACACACCATTGTACCCCAAATCATCCAGGGTACCTAATGAAATCAGATTCTTTCCTAAAGCAGAAACATGCCGCACCCTAGTCAAAGTTAACCTCCGCCCATCAACAGTCCTCAAACTCATGGACCCAATACCTGTGACCTTACAAGGAGCATTGTTACCAACTATAACTGTACCCCCATTGCGAGGCTCATATGTATCAAACCAATCTCGACGTGGACTCATATGGAACGAACACCCCGAATCTAGAACCCAGCTGTCAGATAAATCGCCAGACCTAGCAAAACTGACTAATGTTAAGTCTTCCTCTGAATTATAGCTCTCTTTTGATTTTTCTTCGACTACAGCAGCTTGGGGCTTGTTTTTCCTCACGGGACAATTACCCCTATAGTGACCCAGTTCTTTACAGTAATAACAGGTCTTAGTAGCAGTTTTACCAGATCCTTCCATGCCGTTACCAGCACCCGACCCAGCATTGTTCCCCTTGTTAAACCCCTTTTTCTTTTTAGACTTCCCAGACTTAACAAATATCCCACTACCATTATCCCCATTATCACCTATAGCTTTCTAACGAAGTTCCCTAGTATGAAGTGCTGCCTTCACTCCTTCTAAGGTCAGTGAGTCTTTACCAACAACAAAAGACCCTACAAAATTCTCAAAGCTAGGCGGTAGAGACACAAGTAATATCAACGCATCATTTCATCATCAATTTTAACATATAAATTACGCAAATCAAGTGGAATAAAGTTAATTTATTATAGATGTTCCCGTAAGGGAGTACCT